ACACGCACACGCCACACGCCACACGCCGCACGCACACGCACACGCACACGCACACGCACACGCACACGCACACGCCACACGCCACACGCCTCACGCGACACGCACACGCCCGCGCACACGCACACGTTACACGCACACCCAACACGCACACGCACGCGCACACGCACACGCACGCCCACACGCACACGCCACACGCACACGCACACGCACACGCACACGCACACGCACACGCACACGCACACGCACACGCACACGCACACGCACACGCACACGCACACGCACACGCACACGCACACGCACACGCACACGCACACGCACACGCACACGCACACGCACACACACACACAAACACACAAACACACAAACACACAAACACACACACACAAACACAACACACAAACACACAAACACACAAACACACAAACACACACACACACACAAACACACAAACACACAAACACACAAACACACAAACACACAAACACACAAACACACAAACACACAAACACACAAACACACAAACACACACACACACACACAAACACACAAACACACAAACACACAAACACAAACACACACACACACAGACACACACAGACACACACACACACACACACTGGACTCCCTATAGGTCTCTATAGGTCCCACACATGCGCACCTCCGCCTCGGCTGCCCACCCAAGAGATGTGAAGGGGCCCTGGGACACACACACACACACACACACGCCACACACACCACACAAAATACACACCCATAACAGGAATCCGCATATGTGCCAATCTTTTCTGGGTTGTTGTCTTCCCCCCAACTTCCCATATGTTCCCATATTTTCCTGGGGAATCAACGATTCAATGTGTCTGTGCTGTTTTCCCTCCTGAACCTCGGCTGCCCACCCAAGATGTGTGCGGCTTGGAAGCTCGCCAAGGCACTGCAGCTCGCCAGCGCGAGCTGGCGAAAGGGGATCACATCTGAGGATGCTGCCTCCAATCCATGCCTGGGCCGACCTGGCCGCGAATGCTCCCATCAGCAACGATCGCCGAGCGCTCTGCGGAGCTCTGGCAATCGACGAACAATGACGCCATTTAGCGCTCTTCGGAGCTTCTTGCTGCCAGCGCCCTCGTCGCGCAATGCAAATCGCGCAGAGGAGATCTGGGAATGGACGGCTCGTGCGAGCAACAAAGAAGCAACTGCGGCGGCGCCTCGCTGAACGGGATTGCGTCGTGGCCGCTTGCAAGCGCCTGGGGGGCCAGCTCGGAAACCCTTTCTAAATCACTCCCTCTCTTGGAGGAATGATGGCTCGAAATCTATCTAGGCTTGCCGGCAACCATGGCAACCATATACTTTTACAGAAGCCGGGCAAAAGTAGCATTTGGAATATCAGTGAACGTGGAAGTGGCTAAGGCTAGGAACGTTATCTGGGGCTGAAGCGAGCCCGAAGCAATTCGGGTAAGGTCGCCAGGGCTGGAAGACAAGCAGGAAGCTGGCCAGGGCTGGGAAGAGTGGGAGGGCTGACCCCGCCCCGCCTCTCTATACACCGCGCTCGCCAACGCTCTCGCACAGAAGCCGGCCAGACCAGAACAGGCCAATGCAGAACAGGCCAATCCAGAGGCTGTTGGATCGCCATCTCTTCCTCTCCTCTCTCACCGCCTCTTGCACCTCCTCCTCCTCCTCCGCCTCCTGTCCCGCCCTCACCCCTCCTCTGCTGACCTGTCTGCTGACCGATCTGGGAAAATCAAAAAAATCCTGATACCGCCTCTACGGAGACCTCTCCCTGGTGCGTTGTGACCAGGATTCGGAGGCGAATCCAGCGGTGACAACGGGGGCATCCCAGGAGGCCCAAGAGGGGGAAATCCGAGGAAAGGGCGGCGGTATGGGTCCCCTTTTCCTCCTCCGACAGGAGCAACACATGGCGAAACACCTGCTGTCGTGACTCAGAGAAGTCAACCCGTGTAATCAGGAACCGCGATGAAGAAACACGGGCCTCGGAAGGCCATGTCGACACGTTGCGAGCGGGGCGCGGTCAGCGACAGTGGCCAAGAATTGGCCGAAGGGGATGGGTGCACGGGTCACCTTGGGCAGTTGCTCTTCCTTGCTATGCGGGTTGACTGTACTCCCCAGACCTCTCCCAGGGTGCGCTCTGATCTGAACTTCGAGGCGAACCCAGCGGTGGCGACGCGGACCTCCCAGGAGGCCCTCGAGAAAGGGGAACACGGGCGAAGGGCAACGTCAGCTTGTAATTCACACTAGGTCGGGCATGTCCCCCTACAGGCGGATTGTGGACGAAACATAAAAATATTTTGAAAACTCGTCCCTTGGCTATTTCTTGCTTATGTTTGAATATTCCCCCCTGTAGAGAGACGCGCCGACTTACAGGTGAATCCTGCGGTGGCGACGGGGACCTCCCAGGAGGCCCGCTACAAAGGGGAACGCGGGCGAAGGCGTGAGCAGCTAGCTGAACATCGTTGATCCGATCCCAATCCCCTGCGGCGTGGCCTGGGCCCCACTGGCCGATCTGCCCTCCGAGATGGGGATGCGGGCCGTATTCCCTTCGGGTTGCGAGGGCTGGACCCCAAACTGGGGGGGGGGTAATTTGGTGGGGGTCTCGAAGGGGATGGGGATGAGGATGGGGATCGGTCAGACGAGACAAGTTCTGTCCACCCCCGGGCCGGATCGCATCGGGCCGGCGCCGCTCCTGGCACCGCTTCCTGTGGAAGGACGAGGAGGAGGAGGAGGAGGAGGAGGAGGAGAGGAGGAGGAGGGAGGAGGAGGGGGAAGAGGAGGAGGAGGAGGAGGAGGCAAGCGTACCACGACGACGACGACGACGTCCCCTACCCGCGGAGCTCCTCGGCGATGGGCGCCGCGAGGTGCAGCTCGCGGACAGCGGCCGCTGCCGCATCGAGATTCACTTGCGGATGAAGAAGAGACGCAAGAGGGAGGTGACGGAGAGAGTGATACATATGACATGCAATGAACACTTCCTCGAGAACGGGAACGGTCCAAATCGGGATCCCCCATCTGGCCAACGGATCAGAGGACAACTGCCTATAACGAAGAACACTTGAAATAGACCAGGCAAGGCGAGGGCAGCTGGCGTAGTGCACTTGACGATCGGGCTCCCCCTCGCATCCAAAAGTGCATCCCCTGCGACCGCCTTCATTCAGTATACGATAAGAGGTGGGCCACGATCCGCTTAAGGTTCTAGTCCACGACCAGGCCCAAGAGGGCGGGGCAACTCTGAGAACACCCTGAATGCTGGGCCAGTCAATGGCCTGGATCACCGCGGCCTGCTCAGGCCACCACTTCAAGAGACGGGGCGCAAACAACTCTCCGAGGCCTTGCTGCGGCCAGCATTGGATACAGGCGAGCTTGGCAGCGCGCTGCGGCTTCATATCATTTGCAGAGCAGGCGGCTGCGGCAGCAACGTGCATTGGACCTCCGACTCCATGCTCAGCGTCATGCAGATACTCAACGAAGGCACGGCACTTCCAGTGCCGCGGGTACCGTTTTCCTGCAGGCAACACTACCAGGCGGCATTCGTCCAATTCCTGAGACATGGGCGTGTCTGTCATGCGCACCAGCCAATGATATATCCGATCATATTCAGGTAAAGTCAACTTGGCCGTGCGAGCGAGCGAAGCGATGCTGAGTACCTCCAACGGGCACACTCTAGGTGCATTCCACTCATGAAGATACGCCCAGTCCCGCGCACGGAAAGCACCAAGCGGGAGGCGGAACGCCTGAGCCAAGGCACCTTTCTCGGCGTCCTTCAGCTCTGTCGGCAACGGCAAAAACTGCATGACGTAACTGAGGACAGACACAGCACGCGTCGTGTACAGCACGGCCGACGATGATGCAGGCGTATTACCAGCACCAGTTGCCGCAGCACGATCACGGTACTTCTGGCGGGGGAGTCCAGGAGTCGATCAGCTCGGCCGCGGGACCAATCCACACACCCAGGTAAAACAGTTTAGCCTCAATTCGGAACTCGGACCACTCGGGAATGAACCTGTTCAGAAACTTTTGGGCTTGGGCTTTGAGAGCAGGGGTTAACGGGCCTGAGACTGGAGTCAAGACACACTTAGCTGGCTTGAGGCAGAGGTGCGAGATCAACTCGACGACTTTCATCACGCGTCTGAGCTGCAGCAGCAAACGGATGTCCGACAAGGCTCCACCAAAGTCGTCCGCGCAGGCACGATTGATCCCCTTCCGCGGGATCCCGAAACTGCGGTTGAGGTCAATCAGCGCCGGCGTGAGGGCAATCGCGAACAGCGAGCCTGAAAGAGCACACCCTTGGATAATCCCAGAGCGAATCCAAAACGCATGAACCAGGATCCCCTGGACCGACATCACACCTTCGATACTGTCATACAGCGTCTCGACGAACATCAAAAACCCGACATGACAGCTCATTTTCCTCAAAACAAGGATCATGAACTCCTGAGACAGGCTCGGGAAAGCGTGGCCGTAGTCCAAGGCGCACAGCAATGGACAGCGGTCGTCAGCTTCAGGGCGGGCATAGTGCACGCGAGCGAGGGCGTCCACCTCTAAGATGTTCTGGCAAAACTGCCTTTCATGAGCCCGCGCTGGTCCCGAGGAACGAAACGATCGAGCGGTTTTCGGATCGCCATGTTCATGGTCGCAGTGAGTAATTTGATGCTGGTATTTCGAAGCCCGAGAACACGAACCGACGAGGCTTCTCTGTCGCAGTCGCCCTCTCTCGCGTCAGTGCTGGACTCTCCTTTCGGCAAAAAGGCTTGCAAGGTGACGCTCTCAGCGACAGGGATGCTGTATCCAGACATCATCCACCAGAGGAGGTCATGCAGCAGTATCAGTCCACTCGGGTGGGCCAGCCAGGCCGCATAACATAATCTGTCAACTCCTGGCGCTGAGTCGCTAACAGAGCGTGCAACTCTCTTAAGCATCGCAAGAGACGGTGGCGGCCAGTCGGCAAAGCCCACGGGGCAAATGAAGCGATCGCAGTATGTGTTGGCCGTCTTCGCTGGCCACGCTTTCCTTGAAAAGATCGGCCCCCGATGCGCAGCGAGAGCAGCGCAACGATCAAGATCCCCCTCAACCCCCCCCCCCCTTCGACAAGCACGGCACGAAGCATGAGTCGACGAGCGAGCGGCGCCCAGATCCTCGCCCTCCTCTCAATGGCCTGAAGCTGTTGACGTTCTCTCTGACGAACTCCCCCCCCTCAACGCGCTCGAGACGGGCGCGGGCAGCGAGACGGTCGAGGTTGGCCGCTTCCAACTGCACTCTATTAGTCCAGCTCTGAAATGCAGTAGGGTGAATACGTGGGACGTGATCGCCCTCGATACGGGAAAAACCAGCTGCGGCGGCATGAGAGGCGAGAAGTCGATCAGCTGTGACCGCATCCGGCCTCCAGACTACGCGGGCCAGAGCACGCGCGAGAAGCAAATGCGTGCGCGGGTCCGACGGCTTGCGAAACATCAATAGGTCCCTCGCCTCCCTTCCAGCTTCCTGCATCAGATATTTTTGTCTCAGCAAGCGCCTCGGGGGACACGCGGCCATCGAGTGGGCCTTCTCCGCGTGCAAAAACTTGGCAAGGCATTGCTTATACTCCAGGGAACTGCATGCATGCTTGGGGATCGGACGTTCACCAGGGTCCTGGGGTTTCCGTTGGCACATAGATATCGCGAGAGCAGCGTGATGACTAACTTTGGCACGACGGAGTTTTTCAGGAAGACCTTCCACCCGAGCAGTAGCATATACCTGAGCGAGCACCCAACCAGGCCACGAGCACCATAATCGGTTAATCGCTGCAACAGCATCCGTCTGTTTGTCATAGTGAGTCGCACTTGCCGACGAGATCTCAACCGGCCCATCTAATGCATCAGCCCACCGCGGAGCCTTGGCGTGGAGTGGGCGGGCAATCCTCTGAGCCTCCGAAGGCTGCGCAAACGAAAGCTTTTCCTCGGGCGCAAAGTTGAAATCACCATGCACTACTACTAAAACAGATTCAGGAGACGATTCGGCCAGGGTCCGATCCCGATTTATCTGGTTGTACACGTTCCTTACTTGTTCTGAGGTTAGATCATGATTATGCACGCTATAATGAATTAGATTCGTGTCTTGATTTTGGAAGACAGCACGGAGCACACGACCATCGATTAGAGAGAGCGGAGTGGCAGTGGCGCCAGGGGGGAGGGAAGGGGAACGATGGCCTCTGGTCAAAATCCCTGGAACGACAGTGGCAACCCCACCACGGATTCGT